AAATACAAAATCAACGGTACTGGAAACCACTTTCTTCAGCAACGAATCCCACGAGGTCACTGGGACTACAGATTATCTAAAAAAGAAAACAAGGGTTCACAGGATGTATACATGAATATGACTACCAGTATAATATTAACGAGATAGCACAGTAAGAATTAATGAAAGTTTATATCGATGTGCGATTACATCAGTCACTATTTTTGACACAAGTGAATATTTAGACGAAGTAATAAGAAGACGTAATTTGTCTGAGTCGTGTAGTGTTGTATTCGTGCAACACATTTTGGACAACCTGGTCACGCATGGACTTGTTATAGGAATACATATGAGATTAATACAGTTAAAAGTCTAGAAAATAAATTTAGGTGGAATTAAAACCACATATTGGAGGTCAAAATAACAATGAAGATCACTAAACCAAATATCAGACAGACTAGTACATCTACCCTGACTAGTATCAAAACGAAGTTTAACAAAGAAGGTTTCGTGTGATGACGAATAGTCTTGGAATTCACAAAAGTGGTTTAAACTTCCTAATCACACTTCGGCTTCCACAAACTTTAGGATGCAATCCAAACACGTTTTACAGATAGGTTTAAAAAATGTGCAAACGCCAGTTTTATATCCTGTCACTATAATATGTTTCGAAATAGAGGAGCTGGGACCCCATTAATAACTTCTGAAGGTTCTGTTGCTTCTGGAGGCATTTAGGAATATGATGCGTAGCCCTTACTTGCAGAAATCGATGAGCCTTCCCTAAATGGATACAGCAACCACTTCTAAACCTTACGTCCATAGCTTTAAGAGATGTCGGACACTACTTCTACGTGGTTTTAAAATAATTTTGTGAATTAACTTCGAACAAGCGCGAATAATGTGGCGTCAGGACAATAACAAAAATCGGAAGTTTATGAAACCAAACTCACTAATAGGACAAAGTGACGCACACGTCAGATGTCTTTACGTACCTGATCACGAGGATGGTATTGAAATCCACCAAGTTACTAAAATGTTGCAGTGTGCATTTAACTCATTTAAAAATTTTGGCAGAAAACACTGGATGTTGTATGTGATCGTAAAACATATTGCAGTTTCTGCCCATTTGTGAACACTAATTTTCGCTTGTATCCATGCATTCTATTGACTTTCAGCTATCAAAACACCACACAAAAATGCGGAAGGGTGCACAAATTTGATTCAGATTCAGATTTATTGGTTGAGGATAGAAGGCTTGCAGCCTATGTTAATCCTTTTCTAGTAGATTCCTGTGCCATCAACCATATTCTTCGGTTCCTGCAGCAGTAATAGGTACTGCACAATAGCTGATAGGGAAATTTCAGATCGAGTACAAGTTTCCGCCAATCTGCAAAGAAATTTATCGAATGACAGTCGTTGAAATGTACGCGAAGCTTACTCGGCATGCCAAAAATCACTGCATGAACCATGTATTTAAGCGTCCTGTCACACAAGCAATAAGTAAATGCTCAAGAACAATATCAAACAATAATTTCCATATAAATTCATCCAACAAGACCAAAATAAGCACCGAAATCGCGTCTACTGCGTTTGCTGGACGACTAGCTCCAACTCGAATCAACGAAGCCGCGCAAATGCCGTCAAGGTTAAGCCAGAGGCGCCACTTCAAATAGGGGATATGCCTTATCAACGCCTCCTTAGCCATAGGGGTTTTAATTTCAGTCGTATACACAAGTCAACCAAATTAGTTAGTGGTATCTCGCACCTTCCTTATGATAAAAGGATTGGGCACTTGAATCTGTCTCAATGGTCATACCGAAGGATGAAAGGCGACTTAGTTTTAGTATTTCGTATGTTAAAGGGTTTAAGAGACTGATGGTACTGACGTTCACGGATATTAAGAAGTAAACTAACGTAAGATTTATTGCCCACAACTTCTATAGTACTTGTTCCGCTTCGACCAAAGGTAAAGCAAAACACCAGAATTGATCGTCCAAATTACGGATATATTTGGGAACCAAATCGGGGTGCGAGACGATTACTTAGGTAGATAGGGACCGTGCACGAACGAACCGTGGGTGCTTGACCGGAAGCCTTCATCTAAACAGGTTGACTTAAACAGTGAGGGTCAGAATCCAATGTTCAATTTTAAATGCTGTGGCCAATTTTTTCCTTCACGTTCCCCGGTGGAACATAGGGTGTCAGTGTAGTTGAAGATTGAACGATCAATTCATGGTTGTTTGCTCAAAACCAACTTCCCCAAGTTTCGCGGAGGCATCAATACGACAGTCATCGTCTCATCGGTCGCTGTTCAGAAAGAAGAGTAAAAAACCTTCAGAAACCTTAGTTGTAACATTGTTTATATGTTGGTGTAGCAATAAAGAATCCTCGAGTCACCAATTGGTGTTTTGGTTTTCGCGTCCGTTATTACTAAGCGTTTCTGAGAAACTTCAAGGAACAGCGTGAGCCCGAGCGTAGCAAGAGCTGGGCATCAACGGTTTACGAGACGTGGCTGACATAGGGCTTCAAGCTAGTGGCTTGATGTTTCTGTAGCGGTGTTTATTTTACAGGATCGGGCTTGCTAGCTCCATGCCTAACCCTCCCTCTTTGCCAGCATTGTTTTTGGCTTAGCGAGGTAAAGGAGTTCGTCGGCCGGCGATCGAACCCCAGACTATGTGCACGGTCGGTAGGCGTGCTAACCGCTATGCCACCGACGCGCTGCGGCCAATAACTTTGGAGAATTGTTTGCCGCTACGTAGTGATTTAGGGATAGACCTTTCAAACCAACTTTGCTTCCTGAGATACATTCACGAGTTCGCCACAAGAAGGTGCTCAAACCGAGGTTGAATAAAATACGTGTGGAATTTAGGTTCTCTCACAGAGTGGGCAATGACTGGGACTCCTTACCTGATTCATTGGTAACAGCACCATCATTGGACGCTTTCAAAGAGCAATTAGGCCTCTGCAGATATACACTGCAAGGAATAACACAGGCAACAGAGCCTACTATCCTTATAATTCGAATCTGAAAGTATTAACATTAAAGTATTAACAGACCAGTTGCTCTACTTCCAGTGGTATCGAAGATATTGGAAAGTCTCATTGACGACCACATGAGAAAATACTTCGATGGGACTAACCTTCTTCACGAAGCACAGCACGGTTTCAGGAGGGGAAGATCCTGCGTGACGAATCTTCTACTAGCCTGGAACGATTGGACACTATCCTGGGACAAAAAGGTACCAGCCCACGTGATCTTTCTCGACTTTGCGAAAGCATTCGACACAGTTCACCATGGTCTGCTCCTTCATAAAATAGGCAAGGCGGGAGTTTCTGGAGCACTTCTCGCATGGCTGACAGATTACTTAGGCGAGAGAGAATTCTGCACCAAGTCAACCGCATCCGATCATCCTGGCGCACCTCGGCATCAGGGGTTCCTCAGGGTTCTATCCTAGGGCCGTTGATGTTTTTGATTTTTATCAATGACCTGCCCCCCCAACTAAACTGCTCTGCGCTTCTTTACGCTGACGACGTAAAGATTTGGAGAGCAATAAACTCATCGGAAGACTCAGATAGATTGCAGGCTGACCTGCAAACTCTGGGAAATTGGGCTTTGGCTAACGGAATGCCTTTCAATCTAAAGAAGTGCAAAGTAGTGCAGCTTCATTCCAGCAGGTCACAGAGTGTAAATTACACCCTTGGTGGCGAGAACTTGAGTTGTGTTCTATCAGAGCGCGATCTAGGTCTTATTATAACAGAAAAGCTAGACACCAGTGGAAATTACGCAAGGGACGTCGCCAAAGCCTACGCAACTTTACACTTTATGCATAGGCAGCTGGGAGCTCTCACTCCCGAACTGTTCTTAAGGCTATACAAGGCATATGTGAGGCCACACCTTGAGGTGCATAATATCATTGCACCTCCGCTACTCAAAAGGGATGCTAACATTCTAGAAAGTGTACAGAGACGAGCGACAAAATGGGTGATCGGCCTCCGCAACAAATCATATGAGGAACGACTAAAGAAATTAGGTCTTTTCACACTTAGTTACCGTAGGCACAGGGGAGACCTCATCACTGTCTACCAGATCTTAAATGACCAGGCCCACCCAAATAAAAGCATCTGCCATTAAGTGATTATAGGCTTCCACGAGGTAACCCGCTAAGGATAGCTCACCAGAGACCAAAGACTCGAGTGCGATCACATTTCTTTTCGCTTCGTGTTTGCCGTCTCTGGAACGCTTTACCGGCGGCCGTGACTACAGCGCCATCTCTGGAGATTTTTAAGCGGAAGCTAGACAATCATGCAGAAATGCAAGGTTTGTGTCTCAATGGCTTATCCTCATAAAATTTGAAACCAAACTGTCAATGATAAGCGTACAAACTAAATCCCCACGACCTGTTCTGCCTTCTCTCACTCCATCTTTTCCTTAGGTCACCTTTATTATTTCACTTATCTCAACCCATATTATCTACACTACAACCTATTATTTATTATTATTATTACTATTCTGCTTTTATGACTACACCGAATGACCAACGGGAGTTAGGTCAAACTCCATTCACGGCAGCAATACAGTCCTAACATACTGGATACTACAAACCACATCTTGACCAATCCCCGCACCACTCCTCCTGGAGTCTACCAGAGCTAAAGCAGTCGAGTGTCGGGACTTACTACGGAGAAGCTCACCGAAGATCTGGAACCTCTACCTCACAATCAAGAAGCGAGCTCGAAGAAATCACTGGTTTATACTAGCTCGTAATCAGGATATTGGATATTGGATATAGAATGTGCAATACATCTGTATGAATGAAATTTCATTCTAATTTGCATCATTCCATGTGTTCCGGTTATTCTGATACAAAACTCAACAAGGAATACGAAAGTGCAACACATGCTAATCTCATTTTACCTGCACTTCAACCAGTTGACACCTACCCAATGTTCAATTCACATGAGACCTGCCCTTCAAATAGTGCGCCTAACATCAAGCGGAGATTTGTAACTCTACGCTCCACATGATTTTCGTCTCACGGATGATTAGGCGGCTTCCAGTCAGGCTTCTACCTGATTCTTCAATCTACTACAACCCAGTTAGTTTAGCTCTTTTAATTTCATTTTTTCAGAGGATATGTAGACAATATTCCAAAGGATTTTTACAAAGTTTGATTGAGAAAGTAAAGGAAGAAACAAGCAAAGACGCCGAGTTAAAAGTAATGAATTGTGTTCTTACTACATGTACCTTTAAGGAAAATATAAGGAAGTTTCGAGAGGAAACTGCGAAGTTGGAGCAAACGAAAGAATTGAAATCTGTCCGGGAATTCTATGTTAGTATTAAAAAAAGCTGCACTTATTTTCTAGAAAAAAATTGAAAAAGAAATGCCTACTGATACTGTCGAAAAAGTAAGGGATACAATAAAATCTGTTAAAAGCAAAATCCGCGAAGATGCACAACAACTTGCTCGAAGCGAGACCTTAAGAAAGAGCATGGAAACTCTGTCGAAAGCTGGGGAACATGTTAAGGATGCCACTAAATCACTAAGTGAAACAGAGTTTGTCAAAACGGCCATTAAGGTAACCTACTTTTTAATAACCTATTGGACAGGGTGTTGAAGTAGTTGAGCAAGAACTGCAGTCAGACAGATCTAAGATGTACCAAGCTCCAAGTAAGTCAGTCAGTGTATATTTAGAAAAAAAACAGGTGTCTTAAAGACAAGAAACGAAATTGCTGGAAAAAGTGAAGAAAGAATAGTACAGCCTGACAGGTGAGTTTTGTGTTATTTGCAAATAGGTTATTGCGTAATAATCATTACTCATTATGGTCTCACTTCCAAAGTTAGGTGTGTGACCAGTCACCTCGCTGGAATTTCATCTGACCAGAGTAAGATACCTAGGATACCAGTAATTGGCTATTTGTGTGTTTTGCATTACTGGTGCTGTTCGATCTTCGACTTCATGAATTTCCGAAATTGATGAGTAAATGGACGATTGCACACTAAATATTAGACCTTTTTGTCATCAAAACGACCTGTGTGACTCATCAGTTACGTGTCATCGTAGAAATATTTCCTATTTTTTGGTTGATACATTACTAAATATTCGTTCCTCAGGAAACAGCATAAGTTGAGTATGACCATCACCATAGATAATAGACGAGGACATAATATCAGTAAATGTTCGTTAGTTTCATAGCCAGTGAGTCTATGTGAATGTGGTCGAGATAATTGAGCAGTTGACTTCAGGCCAACTAGCACCCGAAGTGTCAATTTTCCATTCGTTTTTACCCATTTGTTATTGTTGATTTTATAGACTGCGGAGAAAGAGACATTTTTACCACTCCTATGTTACGACCGACGAACTCCTTTACCTCGTTGAGCTAGTACTAAGACGGATAAACAGGGATGGTTAGACATGAGGCTAGCAACTACATCCCGTAAAAATAAACACCACTGTTACCGAAACTTCAAGCCTCTAGCTTGAAGTCCTTTGTTCCACCCAGAACTTATAGGAGAAAAGTACCTGTATAGGATTGTAAATTTTCATTTGTGTACATAAAAGTAATATCAGTTTTCACAATCTTGTCATTCCTAATTTAAAACTTTGCGTAGATTAATTCGGATGTTTTATTTACCCAATACTTCTTGTCTGGAAATTATCCACTTAATTTTCCAAAGTTATACGTAGTGGAATTTTTATGCATGAATACCACAAAATACCAGCTGTATAGTCGTTTATGAAGACATTAATCAATATATACTTCTAGTACCTACACCAGTTATGCTGATATTTATGTTTCGTGTTACTTCTCAGTGAAGTCTGTATTTCTTCATCTTACTGTTGTGCTTATTCATTTTTCATTATGTACGCTACTTTGAACTGTACAACTTTAACTTAGACACTTCTACACAACGGTTCTTATTATTCTATCGGCCTGTTATCTTAAGAGTGTCATCTCCAGAAATCGGGCATGCATGCCAAACGCTACTGCCAGTTCAAAGTGATAGAGAAGGATGTTTGCATAGATTCTTTCTTCCTTAGATTTTTCTGCATAGAAATTTGAATGTAGTGACAAGGTACTAAGGAACACGTATCTTTGAAAACCGATGCGAAGTACTTCTATCCCGAAAATTCAAGGTATTCCACTCATTAATTGTCGATCTCAATCATGTCTTTTTGCTGGACAAATAGGTGTCCATTTCAGTAAAATTCGATCTGTCAGGGGTGGTTACTTTTCTAAGCATAATGTGAATTCTGATTGCCATACGTATTACTTAGACCATTTTAAAAAGGGTAGAATGACACGTTCATTTCATGAACAAAATCCAGCTTGTGTCATTTCAAAAAACTTAGTCTTTTCCCTGACCAAAATTATCCTCTAATCTTTGAAAAAAACAGAAGTTAGCTAAACCACGCACTTGATGGTATAGCTACAATTGTTTAAGTTATTTCAATGTCTCAGTCATGTCCGACTGATAAGTTACATCCGACTGTGAGGTGTTATTGTTGAAGGTCGTGGAAGCGTGTTTGAGAGGTTAGTCAATTTGTTTTCTGAAGTAGAAACAACTACCACTTTTATCTCACTTGCACTTTCTGACCTGTTAGTTACTGTTATTGATTTTTAAGCTGGATCAACTGGAGAAGGCTACAAAAGATCCATGTCTAACAAGCTAAATGTACTTCCAAGTGGCTTTATTTGCTGCATTTTAGGATTTTAAGAAGTGTAGGCAATGTTTGTTTGATTTGTAAAGATGCAGGAACTACGTCAGTTTTCCGTCAATCAGCTCCTACTTCAACCAAATTTTGGCCCAATTAAACACAAACGAATGTTAACAGAATTTTACTGCATTAAAATCTTGCATGCATGTCTTTAATTAATAGTATTTAGTTTGTGAGGACTGCCAGAATTTTACGTGAAACTGTTTGCCGTCTATTATACATCAGTGTGCGTTTTCTGGCGAAAGATTATGACTACTTGTGTGTCGGAATATTAGTAGTATCATACTAGTGGCTGTTGTTTAATAAATTTACGTGGCATGTAAAAAAAGCGATTTCAAGCAATCATTAGTAGTTGAATAAAAATCAGGGTCATCGCGAAGTGCTGATGGTAGCAATATTATCTAAGCATGTTAAGAACTAATAACCACTGGCTATTGGTATTATGACTGGAAATTTCTTACAATGCCTCAAATACATTCACACTTTGTGGTTGCCCATATTTCTCCATGTTGGGATTCCTCCTCCGACGCATTTCTGCTTATTGTAGTACTCTCGAATCTCCTCTCTCTTTCTCTAACTTGGAGTGTGGCAACCTGGACGGCTGTACTTTTGTGCAAAGTCCTATGTTAAATTTCGCTCACGTAGTAGCAACAAAGCACATGTGTGAAGATTAACACACCGATAATATCTTCATTCTTATTATCGTATGACTTTTGTGATCCTTGAAATAATTTTTCGATAACAAGACCCAACTACGTGGTTTTCATAAAAAATTATCATTTTTAGAGCTTTAAGCTGAAATTTAATCCACTAAGCAGTAAAGCGGTGTCAGAAATTAAATCCCCATAATTTCCAATCATCTGAATTACTTTTCAGACCATTGGCTCCTTCTGGAAGTTGTAGTTATGATGGATGTCATTGGTCTTATAAGAGGATTGTACAACAGCTTGATTTGACCGTCAGTGTTCATCAAACGAATTGGTATGGTCGAGGGTGATGGATGGACTTAAGTCTTCCTCTCGAAATGCTCTCATGTATCCGCCTGTTCATGACCTGTACCAGGAAAGTCTCGTTCACTTCCTTCACGCGGCAGGAGTGTTCCTCGCAAAGCTGAAAGGGTGAATGGATTCGTCTGGCTTTTGTTACTGGATTGGTGAGCATGCTTGTCTACCAAGAGGAGCTGGAAAACGTTGATTCCGAACTTATGGGTGAACATGGGCATCAGAATCCAAACGAGTCGAATGGTGTATTAACTTGATTTGATCACTGTCAGCGATGAGAACTGGCCGACCCACTGAGTTTGAACATAGAACTCTGTACAGCAGTTTGAGTTGCCATACTCCATGTACCACACAAAGTAAGAAAAGATTCGGAAGAACAAGAATAAGCAGAAATGTGAGGGAGAAAAAAAGAATATTAGCATGGAAAAACATGAGGGTATAATGGATATGACAGATCACAAAGTGAATGCATCCGTGCCATTGACAACGATTTTGAGCCATATCACCAGGTGTCCTCAGCCATTGGTTCTTAGGACTCCAAGGACTGCAACCAGAAAGCCTACGCAACCATAGGAACGAAGCTCCTCGCAGTACTCCTCTGCCTTGTCGATCAGATTTCAAGTCAAAGGTTTGAGAGATGGTGTTTTAAGACAACTCCATCTACTTCCATCTTGGTGTGTCTGGGCAGTTTATCTCAGCCGTCGCTCAAACTATGAGGTTTTGTGTGGCGCATCTCCTGGCACTCATAATATACCAAGTGTGCGTTTCAATGATAAATAACAATTTTATCATATTTTCTAGATCTTATTCCTAGTTCTAACTTACTACGTTGACTGGCATTACTTAGGTGGTTGTAAATAAAAGTAAATCCAGTGGATTTCGTACTTTCTTTTCTTAAAGTAGTTTTATGGGCATGAGTTGACTTTTTCATTCAATGTATGAATTCGATCAATATCTAGGGAATAACTGACAGACACACTTAATTTTCGTTTTTATTATATTTTCTAAGAAGTATTATTTTTTTATAAATTTTATTTATTTTTAAATTTCAGTGAAACTTCAGGTGTTGTTGTGCATAAAGATTCAAAATGGGTTTCTGCATGGCAGGACTTCAAAGAAAATAATCAGTATGTTCAAAGTGAGATTTATAATCATTTTTTTAAAAAATCTTTGGTTTTTGGTTACCTGTTAACAAGCTGATTAAATCGATAAAGCGCATCATATTGACAAAAAAATGTATTTTTTAAGTGTTGGTTTGTAGGGATTTGATTGATTGGTTACTGGATTTCATCATGAGTTGACATTATTTAGAGAACCATTGGAAAACCTGGGAGTACTGTACAACTGTTTCGTCCTGGTGTGGGACTCTTCAGTAGTACGCACCCACCGGGATTCGAACCCAGGACCGTCTGGTTACAAGGCACCCCGGTAGGTGCGTACTGATGAAGAGTCTCAAACTAGAATAAAACAGCTCTCCTTACTCCCAGGTTTTCAAATGGTTCTCTAACTAATGTCAGCTCATGATGAAATGTATTTTTTGTTAATAAAAGTGGAGTGTGAAATTACAAGTTATTGTTTGAACTCAATTATCCGGTCCGAAGTAGATTTTTCATGTTCTGGTCAGTAAGCTACATTTACGTTGTATGTGAGTTGATGATACTACCCAGATTAAACAGAAGAAACGGTACTCGAACTTGAGACGTGTTAGCTGGCTGTAAGTCGAGTGTTTAAACCAACGAAACACATCTCCACCGAAGATGTATGCTAGTAAGATGAAAAATATAAGTCTCAGAAAGAATAATAAGTATTCAAACAACGGTAATTCAAAAACAGTCGTGAAATTACAATTTTCTAACCGGGACCCGAATAGAAACTTTGGAAATGGTGATTAGAAGTATTTAGATGTAATATATATATGCTCATTAAACCACCTATTACCAGTTTTACAAACCTAGGATAAATCAGGTTGAATTTTTTGAGTTCACTTGTTGGTAAGGAACAGTCCAAGAATACCGGCCAATTTCTGTGTAGTTATATCCACCATGGCGGTATTATTTTTTTATTATAATGACATTCTTGCCGTCTTATCCTTGTGACAGAGTCTGCCTTAGAGCATTACTCAACGATTACTTCCCATCATGCAGTTACTGAATACGAAGATGAAGGTTTATTGCTATAATTCATACCAAGAGAAATGCGAGTAGCCTCCTCTATTATGTCCTGAGTATTTTCGCTAATCAATTCTCCTTTACTACTGGGGATTTCGTCCCCTACATTTCAAGCCAAATATATTTTAAATTTAAAATCTTCATTGATACATCCCTAAACCTGGCCAAGTCATCCTCTAGTGGATGTTATGGGTAGTCTTAATAACATTTCGGTTTCGTGAAGATAACTATACTAAAAGCATCAATCATTGCTGTTTGCCTTAGCTTCTCTTTTCTTAAGGCTGTGTGATTAGTATTCCTGGGCAGTGGGGTTTTTCTTGACTGTGTGTTTGCTATTTGTATGTAAATGAAACAGTGGGAATGTGTTTGGCATGACTCCAAATAATGTTTTACATTTTCCCAACAACTTTGTCGGATATAAATGGTTCATTTTAGAAAGTTCATCAACAATGATCTTGTAAACACTTATAACTGTTTATTTTTCAGCTTTAACATCTTAATTGTTAAATTAACTTCTATTTATTTGGTTATGCTCTCATAGTGAATGTATAGTCTGTATATGTTAAGTGGTTGAAGGCGATCGGCAGGAATCCCTGCCTGACCTAGGTTTCGTGCTAGTTGACACTCGCCAGTCAGCAAGGCGCGTATTTGTATCTTTGAAGGAACTCATATCCTTTCAGAGATTCGAGCCCGCGGCAGCCAGAAACGTCACCACTGAGCTATCTGGGCTGGAGACTGACCTCCTGCAGAACGGTATTGGACACTAATTATTAACTAGTTCCGTGAATCTAATACTTTGTTTAGTGCAGACTGAATTCTGTCATCAGTCAAGTTTGCAATGTGGCCAGCATTCTAGGTGGCTCGCCATCACGATTCACTTTGAATTGTTAATGGTTGGAGACAGTCGTTGGGTAGCCTTAGTATGGTTCATGCTTGTTGGCGCACTCGTCAGCAAGGCGTATCTGCAACACATTACACCTAATTAACTAACTAGTATCTAACTGAAATATAGTCTGTATATTTTGTTGATTCCTCTTTAATGATTCTGTGTGCAATTTTTTAAATTTAATTTTAGGATTTTTCGATTTGAAAGCGCATTACGAAGAAAGTGATCATTTAGTCGTTCGATCATTACGATTTGTAACTGATAGAATCTCAGGTTTATTCAGTAAGTTTTGGACACATTTTAAAAAACGCTTAGTGACTGATTACAGTAATAATTATGATCTTTTGTCTGTTGAAGTTTCCTCAAAGTTATCGGCTGTGCTCTGGCTCACACCTTTCCTGACCAGCTAACTACCTTTTGTTAAACAGTCTATTTTTTCATTCAGAATGTTATCATCCGCGAAATTGTCTTAATGCTGAACATATTGTATCTGTAGAAAGTGCCTTATTTTATGTGATTCATAAGAGATGGTTTGCAGTACTACTACGTTAGGTACTGGGTATGTTAATCCTATTATTATTATTATTATTATTAAATTCTTTTACGTTCCTAGTGGAACATAGAGCTTCAAGCTAGAGCTTTGAGGTTTCAGTTAAAGTACTGTTTATATTCATTGGGTGGAGTTGCTCGCCTCACACGCGGCCTGTCTTATTACCGGCTAGGCGAGGTTTAGAAGGACGTCGGCGGGAGATCAAAACCTGAACCAAATGTGTGGTTGGCGAGCGCTGAAGACCAGGGAGTACTGGACAGCTACTTCGTCCTAGTTGGGGATTCATCGGCAGTACGCCGGGGTTTGAACTCAGGACCTTCCGGTTACATGGCAGGCTCGTAGACCATTTAATCACTGTGTTGATACCATTTAGTATTATTCCCAGTATTATTGCTATTAGCAACAGAAACCTGGTACATTATTGGCACCAAGGGATGCGTCACACAAAATCTGATGGTTTTCGCGATGTCTGGGATACTGTCCGGGCATCTAGACCGAAGCAGGTGGGGGTTGTCTGAAGGGGCCACCCCTCCCCGCGTCTTTCACTTCAAGTCTGATTCACAAGACAGTGGAGCAGCATCATAGGTTACCTTCTCATGGATCCTGGTGACCAAACCAGCTCCATATTTCACTCGATTCGTTCAGATTCTGGAACCAATGTACACGATGGATTTGAAACCACCTTCTCTAGGTCGACTGGCGTGTCCGTCAGTGTGACTGTAAGCGCTAGACGTCCTCATTTGTCCTTCCACTTATATGAGGAAACCCCCTCTGTCGCGTGATGGCGGCGAATAAGATGTACCTGGCATTAGCTAGGAACACGTGGTCACATGAGCGAATTTCGAGAAGAAAACCGTAATCTGACCACCCTCGGCTGTACTGGGTTGTTTATGGATGTGTTGCTACTGCGTGATAGTTAACCAGCCTTACTAAATTTGATGTCTTCTAGTACCCGCCTGATCGTTATTTTATCTAACCTGTTACTGTTAACAACGAAACACAAATCAAAAAGACCCAATCACTTGCGGGCATAGTTAGCAAGCGTAATGTGCTTAGGTAAAACAAAGGTTGAGGTTATTTTAGAGAAAAGATTCTAGAACTTACCTGGTTGATATGATTGAGCTCAAATAAAATAAACAAGCACTTTCATTCTGTGTATATTTGGCAATGAGTCACACGTATTGTGTGAGAGCTGACTAGTATTACCACGGTAAATTGAGCGGGCCTTTAGTCCGCGACCCACTGGTTAGTATTCAAGCACCTAAAGGCCCGTGAATCACAGCTTCACTATAGCCAGCACAAACAGAACTGTGAAATGAACATACATCATGGTCAGATACGTACCCGTTTAAATAAAACGTGAGGATCCAAAGACGGTTGAAACTTGTTTATTTAAATCACCGTGGTCTTTTTACTTAGATCCTAGTCGTATTCAAATAATAGAAAGGTTTTATCTTTCTTCTGTCTTGTTCCTTTGTGGTTCGAGTGGAGCATAGAGCTTCAAGCTTGAGCTTTAACGTTTCGGTAGAAGTGGTTTTATTTTCACTCCCGACCTTCCCTCTTTATCAGGCTTACAGTCGGCTAAGGGAGGTAGAGGTGTGCGTCCTCCTGGAGTCGAACGCCGGACCACATAAGGTGTGGTCAGCGAGCATTTTACCGATACACAACAGGAAGATGCACCACAACAAATACATGCTTTCGAACTTCCTTTTTCAGTATGTGAAGAATAGTGAATGTTTCAATCAAGCGCACACAGACAACATAAAACTTTTGATAAATGTGTGACAATTCAAGTTTCGCATTGAGCATCAGTAAATCCCACATAGAACTTAACAGAAGAGAAGTTGAAGTAATTAAAATATTATGTAAGCAGAATTACATGGTTCTGTCAGTTCAATTAAAGTAAGGTTTGGTGGATTCTTCTTCTGTGTTTTCCATGCCTTACTTGCTGCCGCGTGTTAGATAATGATAACTAAGCGAATCAGTTTGAGCAACGTCACCAATGAGCATTCTTGTTTTTGTTCCCTAGTTTATATAATTTAGATTATTAGTACTTTGTAAATAAACAATAGACATCCGACCAGTCCCAAATAGGATGAAATGTGCATCCTGGGTTCCAGTGCTAGTCACTATCCACCAATTAAATCTGAAAGTATCAGTTGTACAGTGTGTATCCGCTTTTTTTCTGTGGTTTCATAGACAAAATTGTCTAGTGATGATTTTGAACCGGACAATTGAGTGTTTTATTTTGTGGCTTTTATCTTGTGTGTGGAGTTATGCCGAATCATAAAACCATGTATTACTGATTGATTGATTGGTTGAAATGAGTAATTGTATATCACTCACATCAACAAGTAGTGTTTGCCAGTTAGATGCGAGTGAGCTAAATACCACTACTGCTCGTTTGGAGCTGAGTTCATTAGCGATGTGTACTGGGTTTGACTTAGCCCAGAGAGAGTCGAATCAGTTCAAACCACCCGAACTTGTGGTACTGTAAATCAAACTCGCAACTTACACACAGTTTGACGGGATGGTTTCAACCCAGTTTCCTTCGAATGTTGGGATTACTCAGATTACAATATGTGATCTGCTTGGTGCTATAAATCATAATCAAGAAAGTAGACGTAAATGTATACAACGATATACTACTAGTGATTGATTGAGATGAATAGTTGTTGCATACCGCTTAAACAGCTGTCCTGTGTGTGTTTGGATCACTTTGATTCGTCCAGCAAATACTATTGGTTGGTGTGATTTATTCTTTTTTTCTTGACTACCGCTCACAGTGCCAAGAAGATCACATATTGTAGTCAGAGTGTGCTGACTGATTGGTTTCAACACAGAACTTTGAACCGGTGTGGAGCAGTTCGAGTGATCACACTTCACTCAGCACACAAAGCAAGAGAAGGAAGTAAAACGAAATGCAAAATAGAGACAGTAAACCGCGATATGAGGCAAAAAGAAGAGTGATATCTAAGAACAATATAGTTTCAATGAAAATCATAAGTCACAGGGAGTGGATGCATTTGCGCCATTGAGAACGATTTTGAGCCATATCACCAATTGTCTCCAGCCTTCACTGGTTTTTACCGTCCCGAGGACCCGCACCAGGAAGCCAGTCTACACCTTCCTACGTGGCTTAGGCTAACTGTTGTAAATTTCATTGACTGGTGCCATGTTTTGGTTTGACCACCGCTAGCTTTTTTCCAGCCTGACTCTATGTCAGCTAACATTGCCCGTTGTCGAGGAAGGCGATGACTAGGCACGCATACGTAACACATGTCCTAACCATCTTAGTCGATGTAACTTCACAGTCTCGTCTATTGATCTCCTCTCCTTAACTAGCGCTCCACGCCTAACCTCAATATTGCTCACCCTATTATACTACTTCACACGCGAGATAGAACGCAGGCACCTATGATCAAACACAGCTAGCCAGGCTTTTCATGTCTACCACTTTCAATGGCTGTCTCGCTCACAGCCATAGAGGAGGACGGAGCGGACTGCTGAGCAGTACACACGTCCTTTGGTCAGCAACTGGCCGGATATCACGTCTACTAAGCCAGAAATGGCATAAGTTGGCAGGCGAATGCCAAACGAACCTTCTGTATCCATCGTGAGATTTTTTTCAGCGATCCCTCCGTTGGGGCTGAAGCAACTTCCCAAATAAGAGAAGTGTTCAACACGCTCTACCACTTCACTCCCTATCTTTAAGTTAGGAGTCAATGCAGTCCAGTCCTGTAACATCATCTTACATTTGACTGCAGCGAATCGCATATCAAATATCCGAAAATTACAGGTCAAGATGTTCAGAAGACTCTGCATTTTGTCAGCGTCTTCACCTATTTGGGAGTACTATATCATCCCCATATTCTAAGTCAACGAGATTATTCCCTGGTAACCAGTCAATCTCTGAGTCACTGAAGTCAATTAGAGTTAAATCCATTAGTAGTACATCTATGATGAAATTAAATAAAAATGAAGACAGTGAGAATCCCTGACGGACACCACTGGTTGTCACCAGTTCAGATGACAACTCGCCGTAGGCTCTCACTTGGCTGACTTCATAAGTTCGAGTAGAGTGCCTTGATTAGTACAATGTATTTTCTCGGCATTCCCTTTACAGCGAAAAATCGTCATAGTACTTCTCGGTCGACAGAATCGAATGCTGCTTTTCAGCATAAGAAATATGAAGATCAGCGTGGTCTCGATTTCCGAAGCAGACTATGGTGAAATAATCACCTCGAATTATGTAAATTGCGAATTATTTTACAAATTACGATTTCGATCTATGCCGGACTTGCTTAACTTGCTTCCGAGCACTCAGTTTAACTTAAAAGATTTTTCTATTTCTTCCACTCAGGTGGTCTTAAATCAACAAATGAACTACAACTAGTGTTGGATGAAATTACAAAGTTGGATCCAACTTTTACCTTGGAATCGTTTATTCGTCACTGTCGATTCGTTATTATACCAAATGTACTAGAGGTATGTTTAATAGTAAACTTAATTAAAACTCTGAAATCTTTTCCTACGCCTGTTTTTGTTTTTTAGTTTTGATAGCTATATATATATATATATGTATATATAAACTGTTAGGAGCCACTTATATTGGCGTCTTGAGCTGTATCACGTGCTCACCACTTTATTTTTGACTGCATCGGAGTACGCTGCATAGTCGTGTTGATACGGTTTTCTTTAGTAAAGTTATCATAATCATTATATTGAAGAATAATTACAATTCAACTGGGCTCCAATTTAGTGCTTTAAATTTTATTGTAGTAGGCGTATTACTGTTTTTATCAAACACACACACGTATACTAAGTAAACTCATTGTTTAATGAGTACTTCTCTGATCCACTATTCTATGCTTTTAAGAGTTAGTTTGGAAGGGATTTGATATATTTCTGGTTTGGTCATGGATTGATATCAATTAGAGAGAGAGAGAGAACCACTGAAAACCAGTAGGGTAGTACTGGATGGCTGTCACATCCCACACTTCGGGGCTCTTTTGCAGTACTCAGCTGCCAGTGTTTGAACGTGTAGGACCTTCCGGTTGCAAAGCAAGCGCCAAGCTTTCAATTGAAGTATCCTGTTGTAATGTGTTGATGTGAGTCGTATACAACTAACTACTCATCACAGTCAATCAGTAGTATATTTTTTTTGCTTGGTTTCTTGTCTACCATTAATAATATCAAGTAGATCACATATTGTGATCTGAATAATCTTGGTTTTCAAAGGAAACTGTAATGAAATTTCACCACCTTAAACGATGTAAATTGTAAATTACGAGTGTGATTTATTGTATCAGCAGTTTGCCCAAGTAGCTAGCCAGAAATCGAGTGCTTTGAATCGATTCTGCTGTTTGAGTTGAGTAATACGGAGCTCGGCTCCGAAAGAGCAAAACAGCCATCCGGTGTTTAGATTACCTCGATCTGACTAATAAACACGACTTGTTGATATATGGTGTGATGAACAACTACTCACTTCATCCAGTCAGTAATATGTAGTTTTACGTATTTAAGCAGTACACAGCATCATCAAACTGGTTATTAAAATTGTCTCAGTAAGTGGCTTCTGTGCAATGTCTCTGAAATCTTACTTCAATATTTGCCCTCGAACTGCTGAATCCTGCCACATCTATTTATACATCAGTCCAACATTTATTCTTATTCCTTTGGGTTCCAAGTGGAACATAGGGCTTCAACAACACACTTCCATTTCACCCTGTTCCCTGCAATCCCTTTCAGTTGGTCCATAATTGCCTGTAAGCTTCCATCTCCTCCATGTCACTCTCGGTCGCGCAACTCGTCGTTTCCATCTCCATTACCCCCCCCCCATATATTTGTTGATCTATAAACTTGTGGTTCGTTCCAGAATTTCTTGTTGCTGACTCTTTCTAGCCATCTGATCTTCAATATGGAACAAAAGTAGCTGTTAATAGAAGTCTGCAGTAGCCTGTTGGAAATGCTTTCGTGACACGCATTGTGCAAGTTTCTGATCAGTATAGAGAAGCAATAACTTCCCTAACAGTATGTAAAATTCCAATTCTTGTTCTTTATGTTGAGGAGAGCAGATTTCAGAGTAATGAAGGCTCGTCTTGCCTTTTCCCAATTCTGGTCGGTTTCGACATCCTCATCCGTGGTGTCGATAGTAGTTGAAGACAGATCGTGCCTAGATAAGTGAAAGAATTAACCTTTGTCAAATGTCTTTCGCCAATGATAATCGGTGCTCTTTGTTGTTGTTGGTGTGTGTCTTCATCACTTACGTCTTCTCTATATTCACTTGAAATCCTGTCTTTGCTTCTTCTTCTACCACTTTGTTGGTTTTCCTCTGTAAGTCTTCGAGTTCGCGTAACATTAGACATAAATTGTCTGTGGAGTTCAGATTCCCTGGAGTCTCCTTTTCGGTCCAACGTATTCTCGTCTTCTCGCCCTGACAGGCATACTGCATAATCTTTTTTCCCTTCACGTTCCCAGTGGAACATAGGGCCACAAGCTAAAGGCTTGAAGTTTCTGTAGCAGTGTTTAATTTTTTCACAGAATGGGGTTGTTATCCTCATGCCCAACCTTTCTTCTTTACCAGCATTATTTCTGGCTTAATGAGGTAAATGAGTGCGTCTGTGGACGGGGATCGAACCCCGGACCGTGTGCATGGTCGGCGAGCGTCCTAACCGCTGTGCTACCGACGCATACTGCATAATCTAGTCCATCACAATTATGAATAGCATTAATGATAGTGTGGTGAAAGCTAGCTTCAAGCCAAAAAAATCGTAGACAGCAATTTACGTCAATGTTCACGTCCCGAATCGAGGAAATAAGAAAAAATAATAACAAAGCGTAACCTTGAGAAACTTACCAACCAATAACAGCAAACTTAACGTGCGCAAGTACGATTCGTAGATATATGGCCTGACTTTCTAAGAAACGGTCACAAAGAGATGACAGAATAACCTTGAACAAGAAAATAACTAATCGGAAGACGTTGCTTCTCTGCCAACAATAACGAATAACAATGTACATAAAATTCCATAGATATCTCTTGATTTTCTCAATAAACGTTCTGTTACCTGGCCCTTGTCCCCTGTCGTTACAATAATAGTCAGGCAACCTTGTCTTGCTCCTGTCTTCACTGAGTTTTCCCACATATGATATGAATGAATTTACTTCCACGTAATATACACTTTTCTTACCTTTTCATCTCTATTCACCTTGAATGTTTAATTTTTGTTTTTATAGGCTATTGTCAGAGTGGATTTAAACATTCTTAAGGATTGGTGCTATGAAGCGGTATGTTTTTTCACTTCATTGAATTTTATCACTTTAATAAACAGCCTTACAATGTTCTTGCACAGCCATTAAAACAAATTCAACAACTTGGCTGCATATCTGAATCCCGCATACTGGATATACATAATGTTGATGTAAGCTACTTTGATAATTATTTTTTGCGTCTTTTAATGTTTATTGCTATTTGTATTATTACTGTTATTTGCAATTAATAGTGTTCTCTGAGCTGGTTGATTTAGTTGCACAACTTTCGCCGTCTTTCTGGACAACCTCTTCAGGGCAATTTACAGCATAAAGTGAACTGATTTAAATTTTTCCATGAGTGATAGAATTGCATCTTCCGGTAACCATCTTTACATATGTATTGATCAGTTCATTTTATGCTGAAAATTGCTCTGAAGATGTCCAGAAGGACGACGAAAGCTCTGCAACTAAACCAACCAGCTCAAAGAACACTATCAAATGCAAATCATCCACCTGAGCTACAAATCTTCTCTGTTATTACTGTTATAATCGCGATTATTACCTCTGATGACATTTTATTGACTGACTGAGTTTCAGCATTGAACTCAACCCAAAAGTGTAGCAGTTCAAGTTGCCGCACTCCATACAGTCAGTACTCAAAAAATAGAAAAAAGAGAGAAAAATAAGAATTGAGAAGTTCCAGGCTGTAGCAAGAACGACAAATGTTCCAGGATAATCTGAGCTCATGTTTTTATTTTTATTATTTCGTGGATTCTTCTCAACTGGATACACAACCTGAACAATACCATGATAATAAATTAAATTAAAATGTGAACATACTCTTTTTAACAGTGATAGTGAGTAGTGGATTGGAACTGAGAGTAACATTGGTCAGAATTTGTTGAATAATTAAGAGTGAAAGGGATCGACTATTTATAGAAGAATTGCGTGACTAAGCTTGGAAACAAAAGGACAGAGTTCAACAATTGTTTTGTGGGTATAAATAGAGTGTAACTAGAAAGAGTATAGAAAGTAATGGGTTACGTAATCACCGAAAAACACGTTTTTACAAAGTAAACAAAAGGAGGGGTAGGATGTTTAACCGAAAAAATTCAAGTTTTATAAACAGGACAGAAGATGACAGTAAAATTTCTGCGCTTTGTTGTCACCATGGCAGTGCAAGATTCATCACTGTTTCTTTCTGCGTACATAGATTTGTTTTTAGCCGTCTGATTGTGGTTGCCTTAGCAAAAAGAAGCAGACTAGGTTTCATTATCTGTTGATTATTTTCAACGACTTCAGGTTGTTCACAACATGGCCAGTGTCTAGTGCATGGCGTACAATCGCACTGTTTATTGCTTGTGGGTCCTTTAATCTCAGGTTCTTTGGTATATGTTCAGCAATGCGAACAATAACTCCTCTCTGTTCTTTTAATTTATGTGCTTTGACACGTACATGTTAATTGGTAGACGCATTTGGAGGTAACATGAGATGGGAGTTTGTCTGCGTTTGACTGTCTTAAACAACAGGTCGTTTGATAAACACATACAAGTTTGGCAGCTCGATATGTTTTTTTTTCAGGGCAGCGTTCAGTCTGCATTTTATTCTACTAGCAGTATCGTCACCTTTGAAAGCAAGCTATAGAAAGACAGATTTTTTCTCTGCTGTGCTGTACTTCACCTTGTCAAGACTATATTTTGCGTGTTTGTCGATGGACTTCTGTGGGTAACCATTATCAACACAATATTCAACGAAGAGACTCTTTTCATCGAATTTATTTTCAAGCTGTACAATCGTATATATATGGTTTTTTTTAGAAATTATATCCGGTGAGGGAATTAGGTCAAGGTGTGAATATATGAAATGACAAGAGTATGAAATGCAATTAAAATATTTGTGATTATAATCATAGTTTAATGTCAAGTGGCAAAATAATTAATGTCATATATAGAATAATACATAAGGTGTATAGATTTTGGAAAGGGGTACACTATTATAGGATTATTAGGCGAATATAAAATGTTACATAACATGGTGTGAAATTTGATAAGATAGAATTCAATATTGTAAAAATAAAAAATATAAGAATTAATAATTTTGGGTTTAGAATGACAAGTGGGTCAAGTGAATTTCATACTATTATTATTTCAGGTATTCACACCCTTTGACTTAATTCCCTCACCAGATAATTTCTTTTAAAAAAACCATATACATATATATATATACGGTTGTACAGCTTGATAATAAATTCTTTGAAAAGATTCTCTTTGCTGAATATTGTTTTCTTAGCCATTTTATCACTCAGGCATTTTTCAACAGTGGCTAGTTCTTCCTCCACTTTTCTTCTGAACAAAGTTTCCTTACACGATCAAACAGTGTCTTCACCAATCCCTTTTTGTAACTCATAGAGTGGAAGCTTTTGAAGTTCAGGTAAATAGCCCTCCAGATCTCCTTTCTATAGATGTACCTCATGATTTTACTGTCTTTACCCCATGTTTTATTCTAAGGTCCAAACAAAAATATGAGCTCAAACTATCCTGGTACATTTTTCGTTCTTGCTTTATTCAAATTTAATCATGGGAAGAATTGTATAAATTTCTAGAATAGTCCGAGATATGAAGCAGAAAAAAGTAGTAACATAGAAACCAACAGTAAACTTTAATTGATATAGCAGATCATAAAGAGTAAATACATCTGTTCTATTGAGGAAAACTTCGAGTCATATCTCCAGTAGTCTCCAGTCGTTGGTTCCTAAGCATCCTAACGACTCCAACTAGGCAGCCTACGTCCCCTCCACCCAGGTGGCTGAAACTAACTGTCGGAGTCATCATGGATTGATGCCACGATTTGGTTTGACCACGCCTAACTCCTCCCGAATCCAATCTTATGTCGACTAACAACATGCCGTTTCACAACTTTATCGATTGACTTACCTTCTTTACCTAACACCCTACTCCTAACCTCAGTATTACTCATCCTATTATACTATTTAACACGTGAAGTAGAACGCAAACATCTGTGGTCAAAGGCAGCTAGCTGGCCAGGCTTTTCAAGTCTTCCACTTTCAACGGTCATATCTCACAGCCAGCCATGAAGGAGGACAGAGCAAACCGCGGCTAAGCAGTACATGCATATAGATGACTCCAGTTGATAGTTTTTCTTGTATTAAAATCGTTTTCGATAATCTGTAGTTACTGATTACTTATGCACTGTTGACTGGTGTATTACGTTGGTATTTACTGTTGTCTAAACTTTCTGGTTGCAGTTTGGGCACTAGTCAGTTTTTATCAGCGTATTTCAAGTGTCTTCTTTCCTAAATAGCTCTGTGTCGGGGCATTCTCTTGTCAATTTAAAAATTGAGTAATTTAAAATAATTTATGCTAAATTAATTACCATAACTGTGCACCTCATGACGTAATCGATTGGAATGAACCGAACTTCTAAGATGGAGCTCTGCACACATACAAGTTCAGCAGTTCATTTTGTCCGACTTCATAATTACGTGGATAATAACTAGGATTTAATGGATGGGAGAGTTCATAAAGAGCAAACGCATTCGCGCCATAGAGCCATATCACCAACAATCTCCAGATCATAGCGTCCTAAGGACCCCACTCAAGTAGTCAATGTTTCCCCACATGGCTCAGAATAACAGTAAAAGACTTCTTGGATCGACTCTATGTTTCGATTTGGTTACCACTAGCTTAATCTTACGTCAGCCAAAAGAGTTTGTCGAGGAAGGCAACCACTCATAATGTTTACCACGTGTCTTTGCCGTCTCAATCAATGCAGGTTCACAAACCCTTTCGATTGACTTGCCGTCTTTACCTAATCTCATCGTTACTGACTGTAATATACCCGTCTATCACGACAGACATCTATAGTCTAGCATAATCAAACCCCTTTATATGGCTGCCTGATTGCGTAAGCGTACTGTGTTCTCCTACGACTTGTTGTTAAAACTCCGGTTATTTTGATTTTTTTTTCACTTGCATTCGGCTTATCCTCGAATCCCGACTAATAGCTGCTACTTTGACGTGGTGGTCGGGCTTGCACATCACGATGACCCAACAAGCTTCACTGGCTGAAACCAATGTTTCTGCACGTCCCACCATGCCAGGAAGGTTGTTAGGATAGTGATTAGACTAAAAGCAGTTACCGGAATTGTGTAAGAATCTTTCTTACACTATGTTGGGGATCTGTGGGCGAAGTTGTACTGCCAGGGTCCAGGGGTGTAACAGCATTGAGGCGTTTCCCTCAGATGACCAACATGCCAGATATGCTGTCTCTCCACTCCGGAGAGAGGGGGTTAGAAAAAGTCGACACCGAAAATCGTACATCCCGACTTACCCTATGGTGGTCCGTAACTGGCGGTAAGTTTACTAATACGGAACCAAACCAATAAACCAGTTCATACAGGCCGAGTGTGACCGGCCTCAAGCAGTTGTCCCCTAGGCTCTGTGGTCACGCAACACTTACCCTCTCTCTGTTTCAGGTACCCAAAGAATCAGTCAACTTCCATGGTGTGGGCAGCTGGGAAGTAACAACCGCCCACACACTTATCCCCAGGCAGTGTTTCTCCTGGAGTTCAGCGATGATTTGCCTAGGTAGCTGCTCTAGATTTGCCATGATGATTGGTCTTGGTTAAGAAAGCATTTTCTGTAAATCTTTCTGGTTTGCATCAATTGAATTGTAATATTCAGGAGTATGTTTGTAGGCATTTGATTTGTTTCAAGTTTGATCTCGGATTGATGTTATCAGTTAGAGAATCACTGGAGACCAGGGAGCGCTGGACAGTCATTTCGTCCTAGTTTGGGGCGCCTCATCAGTACGAACCCTGGAACTTTAACTGTAGTAATTTGAAATGATATGTCCACAGACACTTTTATCAGATTAATCGCCAAGAAATAATGACAAGTGAAATGCTTTACACACATGCACACTGGTCCTCATATACGTTTCCTTATTTACAATATGCATCCTATCTCTTTTTTTGTCAAGGTTCAAATGGGTAAAATGATGGAACAGGGACCAGTATTGGTTATCACATTCCAAGCTCAACAGATCAATTGTATTCGCGATAAAAGCGGTACTGTACGTGAAGGTGATCCACATAAGGTGTTACGTGTAACGCATGTTTGGGCATTGTGTCGAGATCAAAGTGAACTGCATCCTTTAGCAGCATGGCGTTTACTAGATATTGCTATGATTCCATCTGAACAATGGGTGTAATGATAGCAAGAGCAACAGCAAAGGCGACAGACAACGACAGCAGTTGTTGTAGTAGTAGTAGACAGTTGTATATTTAGAAATTGACAATCTTTTGAATATCTTGTTTGTCATATAAATATAATTCACAGATGATCAGTACTCTGTGTGTGTACAGCTTCATTTTTCTTCTTCTTTCAACCTTGTTTTACATTTAGTCTATTGAATATAATTTACTTTTACTTAAAGCAACAAACAGTATTATTATTTTTATTAACTCAACTTGAATCAATCAGAACTATGTGTATAACTCTCGTAAATTTGTTTAATTTTCTTGTAAAAAAAAGCCTGTCTGTACTTATATATGAATAACAACCTACACATCCATAAATGTCTATTTCTGTTGCGCACAATGTTCATGCTACACGCTGTTGTGCGTATTACAAAAGAAAACGGCTTTTTTTGCTTTGTTTTATATACAGTTTCTAAATGTTCATTTGTGTCATCATCATCATAACCACCAGCAGAACTGGATCTGATCTGTGTGTGTGACCCTATCCTAACTATCTTGATGTGAGTATTATGAAAACGTGTTACCCCGCCCCCCCTCAGTCGTGTCACTCACATTAATATATGTATAAAAGATTGATATATTTAAAAACTAAGTAGTACCAAGGAAAATCTAAGACAGGAAGTGATATACATAAAAGAAGCCTTGAAACTTGATAATTACCCGGATAAATTAGTCAGAGTATATGTAAGGAAATATAAAAATAAAATAAATAATGATAGTAGCGATAGTGATAATAATGATAATTATATTAATGACGACACTAACTATAAGGAATCTAAATCATCAGTAGTAATTCCATACATGAAAGGAACCTCGGAAACCAACTTACGCAGAATTCTTAACAAGGCAGGAATAAGAGTGGTTGGAATTCAAACTAACCACAAACTCAATTAGAAATAAGCTTTGCCGGTCAAAGGATCGTGTGGAGCCTAGTCGAACATAAAAACCTAGCAAAATCTAGATTAGTTGACCCAAATAAGATAAGAAATCTAGAGAATAGTTCAGCTATAGCACTCGATACATGCAGTTAAACACAACGATACAATAGGATTGGATAGGATGACAGTTTAAAAATCTAATGCCACAAGGTGGTAGGAAAGATTGGTAACAGAAGCTTTGTTTATCGAATCAATTGCAAATACGTGTAATAGGAATGATTCAACACCTGTCCATTTGGAGATCTGGAAAATTCTACTACCCCAATGACGAAAAATAGGAGAGAACAAAGAAAACTATAAAACTCAATTTTCAAAGTCGTGTGATTGATAATTGATAAAATGATTATGAACAATAATAAATTTTGTTCGAAACTTTGTCATCCAGTCAATAACACTGTTTTACTGTGCGATACATCCAATAAACAAACTAAAGTGAAATTACGCCTCACTCACAGTTCACCGACTTCATTACGTGTCTGACCGACGAATCTCAATAGAATTACGGAATTTGTGTAGACACTTTACGGAAGAGTTCGTCGGTAGATTTACATTAAAGGTTGTTTCTGATCATATATATATATATATATATATTAGTCTTCTTGCCGTAAGAGATGGCGAATTCTTAAATTGTCTAATTCATTTTATGTGTTTATTATCAATCATCATTATTATTCTGTTGGGTTCCCAGTGGAGCATAGGATTTCAGTAGAAGATAACGATTTTATTGTACTGTTCTTTGAAGTCATTTTTAGTTAGCTCTACAATAGTCTGTGACGTCTCATTGCCGCTCACCTCATCCTCAAACACCCATTGGGTTCCTACAGGAAGGTTTGCGTAGCGGCTTGGTGCCACTCAGCGTTGAGTGAAATGTATCATAGACGACTGCAAAAATTTAGAAAAACATGACTAACCCTTACAAACCAAAACTATAGAAAAGCATGATAATAATAATTATTATTATACTGGTCGTCAGTTATTCCTGTCGAAAGTCAACATAATACTTTTTACCGATTAAAATGCCCATTAAAATTTTCGAAAGAATGGATACTGAACAAACAGTACTCTTTTCGATATCCCCTTCATCATCAGGCTCTACAGTTATGCATACATTATAGTGAATGAATGAATTAGTGTTATTAACAGCATTAATATTTAAATAACATCGAATCAATAATAATAATAATATAAATGGGTTACAGTTCAATAGCATCAACATAACAATAAACTGAATGTCAGAAAAATCAGCAAATTCATGAATTTATAGCCTCTACTAAAGGGCAGTAATAGTGGCTGGGCTTGCTTCTTTTACACACAAAACATTGGTTGTTTCACGCGATAGGCTCTGCTGTTTGGAGTCTATGGTACCTCGATGATTTCGGCAATTTATTTGGCACCCGGTAGATGACAGAGAAGGATTCTTAAATACTGGATTTGTGGCAGGTTTGGGCAAGGTGGTCTAATATCGAACTGTTGATAGTTTTTACTACACCTTTACTTAGCCACACTGTGAGATGTTCCCGAGTGAGCAGAAAAAATCACGTACCTAGAGCAACGGCCGATATAACTCGCTCCACCGCAAGCGCAGTTGCATTGGTAGATACAATTTGAAGTGGCCAATCTAGGTGCTTCATCTTTCAGTTGTTGAATCACCATCGGTCGTGTGGTGGTAGGCTTCAGAGAATTGACACAGCCTACTTCCTTTATTAACTAGGTGTATATGTGATCTGAGAAGTACTACCTAGTGATGAATGATCAATGCGGAAAAGATATGAATAATTTTCATAATTAAGTGATTTATTCAGTTACATAACCATGGGAAAACATTTGCCACCTTATACGAATTTGAAACAAGGATCTCTACCACTGAATACATACAAGGATATATATATATATATATCGTATGCAGAGTATTTGGTTTGAGAGATCTATTGAGATTTGATGAATCCATGTAATCCTGATTTATTAACAGGTTTTGAAAAGAATAAAAGACAATTCAGCGAGAAAACTTTTCTTTATCGACGAAATCACCTTCGTCAGAGGCTGTACAGTGGTATTTTTATTTATCAAAAATGTATAGTGGCTCATTATTGAGTAATAGGAGGGAAGTGACAGAATTGATATAATAACTGAGAATTACGTAGTACTCAATGGCACAAAGAAAAGTGTTAGAAATTTGATGAGGTTAAAATTCAGAACAAAATAGTTAGAGCGAACCACAGTGGTTTCAATAAATTCTTCTTTAGGCTCTACAATTATAAATCCATTAATTTATGCATACAATAGCCAGCCAGTCAGTAAATGCAAATTAGAATCATATCAGAAAGTGTATTTTGGAACACAAGTATAAGTAGGATGGGATGGAACAATAGTCAGTTAGTTTTTTTAATATACATGGTGAATGAAAAACAAGAGATAAAATGAGATGAAATAATTTAATGATGTGTGTGTGTATACGATACAAAATAGAGTCAGCGAAAATACAGGTTTTGAGAGTGAGTTTAGTCAGGGGTGATTAAGACAATATGAATACTACAGAAAATAAACGAAGGAATGGAGTGGACTAGGCATAAGTTCGAGGTTCAAAATAACGAGAATAAATAATGACTGTAAAATAACAAGGATGATGTGATGTAAACATAAAAATACTATTGGTGAGTGATTGTCAAATAATAATAATAATAATCGATTTTGTGAAATGAACAGGATTTTGTAAATACGACAACAAGTTAGAAAAGCACTACTTAGAACTAAGGTAATAGAAATCACAAGAAATAACGAACTTATTTAGAAAGAAAACTTTGATGGGTCACTACACCCATTTTCATAGATTTACACCGATTCAATACAAAAGAGACTTAGTTAAGTGTCTTAGCTATAAAATAAAATGCCTATTTTCGGAGGAATGCATCAAGGAAGAAATGTGTAAACTGAAACTTACACTGCGAGAAAATGGATATCCAGAAAACTTCCTAAAATAGTATATGTCACTATCTAGAAGTTAGTCAACGATGGATACCGTATCTTAAGTTACAAAGGGGAAATCGCAGCTAACATTCTAAAATGTCAACTTAACAGAGCAGTAGACAGAACATTTCCAGCACCTAAACTGCTGGTGCTCCACTTAACCAGTACTCACACAACGAGTTCAGGGTAAGCCACCAAATATGGCCTCATCAATGTGTATATCTATAACTTCAACTGCTCATGTGGAGCTAGTTAAACTGGACGTACTCGGAGGGCTTTATCCATGAGCACAAGTAAGCATGTACCTGTATGGTTGATTACAGAGGGAACTAAATGCGTAAATGGTGTAGTCTTAGACCATTTGGTAGATACTGGGCACTCGGTAAGACCTGAGCATGGGGTACTCAGTTATTTACCGCGTTCCTGGTAATGTATCTAGAGGAACTCAAGTACGTCTTCTGTCAGTAGCTGAAGCGGTAGCAATCCGAACCAGTAGACAAGCCCTTTCTATACAGAAGAAATATGTTCGACCTCTATCGTGCACTAGGCCTACAAATCCTTCATAAACATTAGCACTTTAAATTCCTATCGCAATTTTTCTCTTCTTCTTTTCCTTTCTTTAAATGACAAACGCTCATTTCTGACCTATAACGACTTCATGACCTTTATTATGATTTCTATCGCCTTAGGTTTAAGTAGTGCTTTTCTAATTTGATATCGTATTTGCGAAATCCTGTTCATTCCACTTCACTAAATTCATTATTATTATTATTATTATATGATAATCATTAACACCAATAGTACTTTCAAGTTTACATCACATCATCGATATTATTGTCTTTATTTTCACCGTAGAACTTACGTTTATTTCATTTTCTGAAGTATTCATATTGTCTCACACACCACTGATTACACTCACCCTCGAAACCTGTACTTTCATTGACTATTAATATATTAAATTATTTCATCTCATTTTATTTTTTGTTCTCATGGACCATGGATATTGAAAACACTAACTGACTATTGTTCCATCCCATCCTACTTATACTTGTTCCACAATACACTTTCCGATGTGATTCTAATTTGCCTTTACTGACTGGCTGGCTATTGTATGCATAAATTAATGGATTTATAATTGTAGAGCCTAAAGAAGAATTTATTAAAAACCACTGTGGTTCGCTCTAACTATTTTGTTTTGAATAAATTACGGGAATATTCAATGTTGAAATTGTTATTGAGTGAGAATAAAGGTGGTTGAGTGTCAGTTTAACAAGTGTGAAAAGGGTGAGAAAATGTACAGAAGGAACATGTGAGAGTATTAGTAGTGATTTAATTAATAATGTAAGAGCAAACTAAAAGTAAAATCAACAATTTACAAATTAACAGGTGAAGAGGTTAAGACCATGTGTCACCCCTCCTATTACTCAATAATGGACCCCTATAGGTTTCTGGTAAATATAAATTCGACTGTACGGGCCTCTGATGAAGATGATTTCGTCGATAAAGAAAAGTTTCTTCGCTGAGTCGTCTTTTTCATTAACACGTTTTTCACTAGTTTTATACTTAATCAAGGTTGGAAATTCTGTCATTACTGATCGAATATGAGTTTTTAGATATATTATCTATCGTTAGACACAATCATATCGAAAGCAAAATAAATCAACTCAATTCGTTACACATCTCTTGGTGCCCCTAATGTAACAACAAGTTTGTGTTTTAATAATAATAGTAGTAATGATATCAGCTCATTCTGGTAACATCAAATGATCGAGTACATTAGCGCTATGGCGAAAGGCAAAATAAAATGAAAACAGGTTGCTGTAGGATATATTACTCTTCTCAAGTATGTCGACTTAGTTTAGTGTAGTGAATTGTTTAGGTGAAGAAGACTCTAAACTAACTGGTGATTTGAAGAAACTGAATATAAATCAGCACTACTCAGAACTCTTTTTCGTTAATATAACTTGAAAACTTATTAATGATGCTTCAAAAGGTAGAGATGTCCTATTCCGGGATAGTTCGTATTAGAATTCAGACCTACTACAGTGTTAACGGATTAACAACCATACCGAGACGGAACAACCTAGCGGAACAGAAATTGAAAGTATTCTACATAACTGCCGTGATGTATATTCAGTATAAGCACCTTCAGATATCAGAAGGGACCTAGTTAAACTTGCCGGAGGCGGAATTCGACTCTGTCGACCGAAAGTTACTATGGAAATGTATCGCCGTAAATAGAGTGCCGAGCAAGCACACATGACTTATCAAGGCACTCTACTCGGACGTAACTATGTAAGAGCCTACGGAGAGTTGTCATCTAAAATGTCCGTCACGCATGCCCACTGATCTCAACAACTTAAGGATTAAGTTGTTACCAGGCATGAGTCTTGTTGACTTAGGAAATGCTGCTGGGTGAAATTGCTAATAAATTCAAAGCCCTCTGAACGCTTCAAGCAAAAATCTTCGAATCCTTAGCATGTGATTCGATACTGTCAAATGTAAAAAATGCTACAGGACTGAAGTGCACCGACTCCTAGCTTAAATACAAAGAGTGAAGTGATAGAGCGTGTTATCCACCTCAATTCTTTGGAGGATTGCATCAGCCACAATGACTGATTTTTGACAAAATCTCAGCACGGATACAAAAGCTTCGTGTTGCATTTACCAACTTACTTCATCTCTGGTATACACATGTATCCGGCTGGCTCAGCAGTTCTCTCGACATTCCTTCTTAACTATGAGACAAGGTCATTCAAAAGTGGAATATATAAAAAGGTCAGCTGTCTTTCAACACAGGTGTCTTCATTCTGTCTCCGATGTTAGCTGGTATAGCAGGGTGAGAAATATTGAGGTTCGGCGTTGAGTATTAGTTAAGGACGGGGAATCAATCGACGAGGTTGTGAAGCTACATCGATTGAGATGGATGAGACATGTGTTATGCATGCCCAGCTGTCGCCTTCCTGGATGATTAATGTTAAGTAAAATAGAATTAGGTTAGGAAAGAGCTAGTGGTGGTCAAAGCAAAGCTTGGAATCAGTCCCTAAGATCCTTTAGCAGTTAGTTTGACCCACTTATGGAGATGAAGACTGCTTGATCGGAGTTCTCGAGATGATTGAAACCAGTGGCTGGAGACGATTAGTGATATGACTCAAAATCTTTCTCAGTGGCAAAGATGCATCCACTTTTCGTCATCTGATATATCCACTAAGCCATATTGGTTTTTTTCCTCACTTTTCTGCTTGTTATCGTTCTTTTGAATCTCTTTTGTCTTCATGTGTGTGGCAACTAGAACTGTTGTACTTCTGTGCAAAGTTCTGCGTTAAAAGCAGATTCACTCTGGTGGACTTGAACACTAAACTCTATCAATAATTTTGTAACCTGATTGTCGAATACAAACCATCTCATATGGCATCTGACTTCATATTATACTGTACATACTACAAGACTTTATTAGGGTTTTTTCAAAAGCCGCCATGAGTTTGTGATCCCAGTACATAAACCTGTGGAAATAGACAACAGGATTCGTGATAAATTTGTCGCCCACTAACTAACCGATTGTCAAGATCGTAGGACAAATAGTTACTTTAACTCAATTTAGATCTCCTCGTCGATCGATTGAACCGAAGTGTTCGGTCTCAGGTGGAGATGTCGCCTCTTAGTGCGGATGTTTCGACGATGTCTGGTCACGTAACTTGAAGTCAACTAATGGATGGTGTCTAGCATTGAAATACACCCAGGATGCGCATTTCGTCCTATTTGGGAAACTATAAACACCGGCTTCGAGCCTCGGTAGTGGGAACACCATCACACACTCACTGGGGAGTGCAAGTACATCCAGTTGACGAGTCCAAAATAGGACGAAATACGCATCTTGGCTGTATTCCACTGCTAGTCACCATCACCAATTAACTTCAAATAATTAATGCTTCCAAATTTGTGATAATTAAATAATTATGCACAGTGTAATTTTTATTATATATACTATATTTTACTAAACCTTTGAAATCACAGCACAATAAAGTTAAGGGGTGCTAGGTAAGTACAAAGCAGAGTTTATAATTAATCAAGCATCTTTTTGTAAAGATTTCAATATCTCTTCTCGTTTAATTGCTATTTCAGTGAGTAGAAATGCTCGTACACTACAATCTTCTACTTGATTTATTTCATTTCGTAGTCTGTTAACTAATTCACTTAACATTTCTTTCGTCTTCGTTTTTATCCATAATATTAGAGGACCTCTGGTTTTGAATTCTCTTCATATGATATTCAAATAAACGTTCAGCATAGTCTATCCATACACAATTAGCACATCCAGATTCACAGCAGTAATAGTGTTGTGGTGGTTCAGGTTCTGATGGTTCATCTGTTGTTGTTGTTGAAAATAAGCTTCCTTTCTTCTTTGTCTTCTTCCATGCTGGCTTGAACCGATTCGATATAATAAAGGAGGGTATGGTGACTATTTGATATGAATTCAGTCTACGTAAGGAACCAATAAGCATTCACTTCGTTAAATTAATATAAAAATAAAAGAAATAAGTATTAGACATTCGGCTAATATGCGCATAAAATAAAAAACACAAACTTAATACATTATGGGCATCAAAAGATGCATCACACAGAATTGCATAGTTAGTGAGGCGGCGGATGGGATTATGGCCAGACACCTAGATGGAAGCAACTAGTTGTCTTAAGCAGTCACCCCCTGAACCGAACTTTGACCTCAATTGTGATCCACAGGGCAGTGAACATGTGTTCCCACGGTTTCCGATCACCAGAACAGGTTGATATACACTATTAGATCCTTTTGGATTCTGGAACTTATGTACACTGCAGCTTTGGAATCAGGGTTTTCGAGCTCTTTTAGGTATTCCTGCATGTCGATCAGTTCTGTGGCTGTAAGCTCCAGGCATTCAACTTCGTCCTTCCAATTTTGTGAGGTAGACCTTTACCACGTGGATGAACTGAACAGGAATCACCTGGCAGAAGATAAGAACACCTGTTGACATGAGAGCGTTTCAATAGGAAGACTGAAGTCTACACAACCTTGGCCGTACCATGTCGGTTATTGAGGCATAGAAATCTTTTGTGTAAATTCTAAATAGCACTCACTAGTACCTATTTCGGCCTTACATTTCTCGTCGAATTTGCTTATAACACTGTTAATCTGTGCAAGCTGGTTTGGTTAGGACTACAGGCGACTGGAAGACTGTTGAATATATAAAGAAGCCTGATATATGGACAGAAAAAGTTGGTTTACGTAAAAGCAATTTCCTTTTAAATTTGTCGGTAATTAGTGACCTGAACGCGCGAATAACACAGTACAACGCACCCATAAGCACCGTCTTCACCTTATACATGTGAATACTGTAATATTACAAATTTGCACTCAAAATTCGGAGTAATCGTAGGACACGAGAACTAGAGGTTAATTCGGACTCATCCTATGCGTAAATAAAACCACACTCTGGAATTGTTTTAGACGTTTAGATTATAGATGTTGAGAATAATCTGAACCCTGCGTCAAATCTAATTATTTTTTTTTAAATAGTCCCACAGGGTTTGGAAAATCAAGAGGTTTTTCTGAACGTTTAGGGACTGATTCCAAGCTTTGCTTTGACCACCACCTAATCCTGTCATCTGACATTAGCCATCGAGGAAGGCGACGGCTTGATATGCATAACACATGTCCTATCCATCTCGATCGATGTAGCTTCACAACCTCGTTGATTGACTACCCGTCCGTAACACTCGACGCCTAACCTCAATATTTTTCACACTATTATACCACCTAACATGGGAGACAGAATGAAGACACTCATGATAAAAGAGAACTAACCTTTCCGTAGAATTCACTTTCAATGGCCGTGTCTCATAGTCAAGAAGGCGGGTAGAGATGACTGATGAGCAGTACATACATCCTTTGATCGATAGCCAGCCGGATATAGTGTACGCCAGAGATGAAGTAAGTCGATAAATGCCACACGAGCCTTTAGTATCCGTGCTGAGATTTCGTGAACAATCAGCCCTTTGAGGTTGACGCAATCTCTCGAATAAATGGAGTGGTCAATACGCCACACTACCTCAACCCTTATCTTTAAGCTTGGAATCAGTAGAAAGTTTTAGTCCTGTAGCAGCATCTCGTAGTTAGCGAGAGCAAATTGTATACCAAACATTCGAAGATTGCTGCTCCAAAGGTTCAGAAGACTTTGAATTGTCAGAATCTTCATCCAGAAGGAAAACATCATACCCAGACTGTGGCTTGGTAACAAGTGAGTCTCTAAGCCACTATAGTCGATTACGGTCAAATCATTTAGTGCACCTATGATGAATTCAGATAAAAATGGGGAGTCAAGAGATCCCGGATGAACACTGTTGGTTGTCACCACTTCAGATGATAACTCTCCGTTAGCTCTTTTACACGGCTACGCTTGAGTACAATGTCTCGAGATTACTGCGAATTTCCCCACAACTTTAAGACATTCATTAAATACAAGAATTGAGGAGGAAATCTAATTAAAATAATGCTTTTTCGTTGGAATGAATAAAATTTCGAGTATAACCATTTCATATTACATCAAGAGAATATCACTAAATGGACTATTGTCATTCAATTTATCATAGTGAGGACAACTACATGGTAAAACTTTTCACTGTATTACAGTCCCAACTTTTTAAGTGAAAATTACTGGATTTTGTATCGGTAGTTGCATACCATGACACCCACCAACTTAGGTTGAATTTTTGATGGTTACTAAAACTAAATGGCTGTCGAACCTCTACCTTGGCTCTGAAAAAGTCTTCGATAGCGCTGACCACGCAGTAACACATTGGGGTGCGGCAAATCTTTATCAACCTCATTCAACAGCTATATGACAATGCCAAGTGTCAAGTGATCCCCAACGGAAAAGTCAGCGAAGCCGCCTTTGAAGTGAATATGGGAGTTAAGGACGAGGCTGCCTATTATCACTGATGATATTCTTAATTGTGGTGGACTGACTTGTGGAGCACATCGTAAGTGGGGAGTGAGAAGATAGGAATACGTTGGACCGATAAAATGGCTCTAAAAGATCTAGATTTTGCGGATGATTAATGTCACGCAAACTCGAAAACTGACAGGCGGTAATCAACAAACTGGCAGAAGAGACTGGTAGCAAAGTCAGGAATTCAAGTGAACATAGAGAAGGCGGAGGTGGTGAAGGCAACGAACCAACCAACAACAATAACAACAAGCACCAGTCACCCACCATGAACGGGAGAAATATGAAAAACGTCACTTTCTTCACTTATCTAGGAAATATCGTTCCAACTGCAGCGACAGCACGGATGAGGATGTCAAAACCCGCCAGAATCAGAAAGGCAAGACAGATCTTTATAACTCTTAAATCAGTATGCAGATCTTCTGCACTCAACAAGAAGAACAAGATTCGGATTTTGCAAAACCAATTTTGAGTCGGTCCTTCTATCTACACCAGAAACTTGTTGTGCGTGTCATGAAAAGCATTTCTAACAGGCCATTGCAAACTTTTATCAACCAAGAATCTATTGCTCAACAAATATTCCGAAGAAAATGAAACTGAAATGGACACACACACACAGACAAGATCATCCGGTGACATCGCACGCCAGGCCTTCGCTCGAGCGCGATGCGAACGAAGAATGATGTCTGGGGTGTCGCTTCGAGCATAACTATGGATTACCATGGGGCCAGCTTAATAAAACCGCAAAGACTAGGAGGACAAGATGGAGATGAGCTGTTCCACACTCGGAACCCAAGGGAACAATAATAATAATAAATATACTAGAATAGGTTAAAGCAGATATTGCAAATAAATAAATTGACTTATTCCAAACACTACAGTACATGCAGAGTTAGATAACTTCCAGTCAATAGTTAAAAAGTCGTGAATACAAAAAAATAAGATTTTATTAAGAAAAAATAATCACAATAAAAGCAATTCAATATATATGTATATATAAATTAAAAAATCCCGTAAATATTGCATCGTATTGGAAAACATTTCTAATGGTTCGGTGATGGTCAGCAGCACATATGTATATCGCAAGTTATTCTTTGCTCCAGCGAATATGTATCTGTCGAAGAAGCTCATGACGTTGTTCAGGAATATTTAATGCCGGATCAATATTGAGGAGTTTATTGGAGTTAAGTAAATCTTTTAGATTATGATAAACATCTGAATTACAAATCGATGTACCATTATGCTCTTCTTGTTCAATGATATTATTTTTACTACGTAGACATGATAGACCAGACAGAGAAAGAAATGTATGCAGTGGATCTAAAATAGAGAGGCAAAATGAAAGTTAGTAACTAATTTAGGCCTTAAATCATTATTATTCTATTCCTTTACATTCCGAGTAAAACACAGGGTTTTACGCTACAGCTTTGACGTTTCGGTAGCAGTAGGCTTATTTATATGGGGTAGGGTTGCTAGCTTCACACACACCACATAAACACAACCTTTCTTCTATACCGACCCTATTACCAACGACTTAACAAGGTTTAGACGTGCGTCAGCCGGGGATCAAACCTCAAACCACGTGAGGTGTGCTTGCTACCAGGGAATAATCTCGTTGACTTAGAATATGCAGACGATATAGTCCTTCTAGGCGAGGACGCTGACAAAATGCAAGAGTCTTCTAAACACCTTGAGCTGCAATCTACGAATGTTTGGCATGCGATTCGCTCCCGCCAAATGCAAGATAATGTTGCAGGACTGAACTACGCCGACTCCTAGATTAGAAATAGGAAGTGAAGTGGTAGAGCACGTTGACCGCTTCACTTATTGGGGAAGTACCATCAGCCAGTGCCAACGGGTTGATCTCTGACGAAATCTCAGCACGTATACAGAGGGCTTGTTTCCCATATGCCAGTTTACGCCGTCTCTGGCGTAGACGCGATATCCAACTATCGACCAAAGGGCGGATGTACTGCTCATCAGTCCGCTCCATCCTCCTCTGTGGCTGTGAGCGAGACCTGGCCATTGAGAGTGGAAGACATGAAAAGGCTAGCTGTGTTTGATCATAGGTGCCTGCGTTCTATCTCCCGTGTGAAGTGGAATAATCAGGTGAGAAATATTGAAGTTAGGCGTCGAGTTCTAGGTAAGGAGGGGAAATCAATCGACTGAGATGGTTAGGGCATGTGTTATGTGTGGAAATTGGAAATCATAAGTCACAAGGAGTGGATGCATCTCCGCCAGCCGTTGAGAACGATTTTGAGCCATATCACCAATTGCCTCCAGCCTTCATTGGTTTTTACCGTCCCGAGGACCCCAACCATTCAGGAAGTTTACACCTTCCTACATGGGTAGCTTAAACTAACTGTTGTGGATTTCATTGACCGGTGCCATGTTTTGGTTTGACCGCCACTAGCTGTTTTCCAGCCTGACACTATGTCAGCTAACATTTCCCGTCGAGGAAGGCACACATAACACATGCCCTAACCATCTCAGTCGATTGATTTCCCCTCCTTACCAAGCGCTCCA